TACTCGGTGCCACTTTATTCTGGCGCTCTCTTCCAACCCGCCCATCTAATCTTATCAATCTCCCCACCTACCCTCCCAGCATCACTTGATCAAACCAGGTGAGCTCAAATATAGTAGGGGTCCGGTTCCCCTGTCGCACCACCCTCGGCCAACAAAGGATTCTAACCCCTCATACCACCTCAGACACTTAGATCCTTTGTCAGGGCGCCGGGCTCCGTTCTCCCAGTATAAATATTGCACCGGAGAACCTGCACCGCACGGGAGAAAGCACGACGTTGACGTCCTGCTGTGCATCTACGCGTTCCTGTACTGTTTCACTGAAACCTAGCGTGCAATCACATGCGCCAAGGCCCTCCATCACCATGAAGCTGCTCAACACCATTGCAGGCCTTTCCGGCGTCGTCAGCGCCGCGCAGAAGCCACTATCCATACTGGACAACTCTGCCGAGTCGTACAGGATCCCGAGCAGCTACGAGTCGGCTGTCATGGGCCGACGCGTCCTGGCCTTGACCAAGCTCGGAACACTGTCGACAGTCTTTCAGCAGACGTCTGCGCATGAAATCCGCCCCGGCGGCATGGAGGGCCAGCCCATTGGCCTGATGGACTACGTCGCCGACTGCGAGGACGAGGGCAACCCAACCATCCTAGCCATCAAGATTGGCACCAGCTTCAAGAACGTCCGCGCAGGCTCAAACATCACCCTGTCCATGAGGTGGACGCCTCCGTACCCGCCGGCCAAGCGCTTGTCCCTCGTGTCTCGCCTGGCGGCATGGGTGCCCTTTCTCTCGCGGCACTGCCCATACGATTCTGAGCGGGAGCACACGGAGCTCCCCGACACGGTGCCCTACTCGGCAGCCAATCTGCCGCGATTCTCTCTTTTTGGCTACCTGGAGAAGATTGAAACGGACGACAAGAAGGCCCGGGAACTGGCTGTTTGCTACACGGCCAAGCACCGGGATGCCAAATATTGGCTCCCGGGGAACCCCATTCACTCGAGCGAGTGGATGAGACTGATAGTGACGCACGTGTACTGGATTGGAGGATTCGGCGACAGAGCGTACATTGGCTGGATTCCTGTAGAGGAATGGAAACATGTTACCAAGGAGGACTGGCAGAAGATCGAGCTTCCCGGCGAGAAGAAGGATTGGGATGAGTGGCATCCTGCACAGTCTGAAGAGCTTTAGTGTGCTCTCTGATGATATGAACGCCCCAAGGCTAGATTGTGAGAAAACGAGACGTGGCGACGCGATATTTGCCCTACGAAGCGTTATGAGTACTATCATTGTCCGTTATCTTTTGTGTTTTTATACTGTACCGAAGTATTCCGTAGTTTGCGCATTGAAACGAAGCAGCATTTCGCACCTCTCCATATTCAGCTTCCGCAGCACTTTGGTCTGTTCACGGTGATGGCGGCTCGCAATGTTGTGGGCGTACGATTAAAGAAAGACGAAAATGCTCTTCCAGAATATCACCGCGAAAACACAACGTGTAGTCAACAAAATTTCGTAGCTTGTTTGTTTGTATTGGTCGGCCTCAAGCGAACCAGTAAGCCGCGCTGATCCCCGTCTCATGCAAAATGCCTAATAGCTTACAGTAATTAGCCCTCCCCCCTTCTAGATAACTCCGTAGAAGACTATTTTTAAGAACCAACCAACATGGTAGTATGTGGTCAGCATCCGCGCAGCTGGGCACAGTCCAGTAGCCATCGTGCAAAGGCAGATGAAGAGCATTACACATGCAGGGCATCTACGGAGTACCACCGCACGGGATTCTCTGCCTGGCCACCCAACAAAACCATCGGTATCTTGTTTCGTATGTAGTAAGTAGTACTACATACAAATCCACAGGTCTGTGCCCTGCATTTTCGAGAAAAAGCAAGCAATACTCCCTAGATGCACGTTTCGAACGGCAGTGGGTGTCCTGCAAAGAGAACGGCCTGAACCCGTTTCGAACGGCAAGGGTGATATCATGGTTTGGGTGGTGGCGCCGCTATTGTTTCGCTGGAAGCTTCCGTGTCCCGTTCGTCTCGATAGTTTTTCGGCGTCCATGGCTGAGACAGCTCATGCTAGCATCCTTTCACAAATCGATCTTGAGATTTGCACCTTCACAAACAGCTCCGAGTGCCACAAAAGATATTTGCCGGAGATAACGTCTCGGGTAAGATGGTGCGGACCAATCGTGATGGTGATGATACCATGTTGGCCAGACGCTACCGCAACACCAAATTTCTTTCTCCTTCACTCGAGGGGAGTGATGAGCACAACTGCTCTTGGGAGGCAGTAGTTGTAACTCTCATGATATCTTCTCAACTTGATACTTGAACCGTCACCTGCATGGCCGCCCCCACCTAGGCACCTTACATGACGGAACACAATGCGGTTGGTTTCAACGCCAAGAGGCGAGTGGCAAGCATCTCCCATCTGCACCGAGCCCAACAGACACACGCCATAATACAGAGTAGTAGTCAGCAAGTTACGCAAAGCCCTCTTATCATGCACTGTACTCCGTAGCCAGTTCAGTATTCCTTCCGTACGTGTATGGATTGCTTCCCGCGCATTTTTCTGTAAGAGCGGTTGCAGCAACAACCACCCTGGGCTTGTTTGCAGCCGACTCGAAATGCAACGTTGGGAAGCAGACCTAAGTTTGGCCGCAGAGTCAGTCTGGCAAGCCACAAACTTGAGTCGCAGGGTCACAAGTCGGTGATGAATGGGGAGGGGGGCGTGCTAAGCGTGGCAACGAATGACAGATCCCCTGGCGCCCAGAGCTGGTGGAGAGTCGAGAGATTGGGAGTCGCATTTGTCCGCGGCGATTCTGACAAACAATCGACATTGGCAAGAACCCGATGGCACGACGTCTGGCATGTTGCCGGGGGTAAAGCTTGGGTGTTAAGACTGGGGACCCCAATAATTTCTCGACTTATTACTCCGTATTGATGGCAACAGAAAGAATTCAAGACCACAAGGTCAAACAAAGGGCATAGTACATACGTTGAAAGTTAAAAGAAGCTGGCGTGTGCAAGATGTTTGCTCCCAATTGCCGCGGCGCATCCAGTACGTGTTCAGTTCCGAAACGTGCTTTGACAGGACCATATCTTGGTACTTTGCTTCTTGTGGTGGAAGGCAAAAGATCTGTGGCCACCGTACTGCACCGTCTGCACATCTTAGGTACTTAAGTAGGTGGCGATAGGCAAACATGCCCTATGTAGGTTAGCACGCGGGTTGCAAAAAAGGTCGCGCACCTGTGTGTGTGGTAGTGGGTGCGGGGTGTGCGGCCTTTTTTGCAACCCGCGTGGTTAGGTATCTTGCCAGAAAATGCAGCCACGATAGGGCCGGGTTTGGGACCCGGCAACCTAACAACTTCGGGCGGTATTCCAATACTGTCTCTATTCCAATAACCCCCCCCTCTTGTCCCTTGCCTGAAGTCGCACAGATGTCGGCATTCGAAGTGGATGATTGAGTCGTGTGGCACCCGGGAGATGACACTCTACTTCCAAAAGAGTGTCGTTTGTGTCCTAGGCTAGGTAGCTTTAGTTCTCAGACTGTTAGTTACTGTTCCGCAGTCTCTTTTCCCCATTTGGCGACGGGTATTCTGCAGATCGATCGCATTGGCATTAAATGGTGCCTCTACTAACGGCGGATGGAAGCATCTCCTTGGGCCGGTCTTTGAGAGTTGAGAGCGTATTAATATTATGTGTTGCAGAGGGGGGATGTTGGACACTATCACTATTAGTTATTTCATGTACGGAGTACGTGCGTGTATACAAGGTTATGTACGGAGTACGTGTCTTGGTCTAGTTGCCCATGAGGAATGATCTGTCATGCAGTCTCCAGATGTCTGGTGGGAGATTAGCTCGGCAGCGATTCGATTGGGTGCGACAGCAGGCTGTTGCAGGGGAATTCGCAGTTGGTCGTGTCTGCCGAGAGGAGAGTCGATGGGATCATCTCGTTCCGGCCTCATCATGGCTGTTGAAGCCTTCAAGCCTTGTCCTCTCGCGTGTACTTGAGACTCCCAACTCCGCCAAGTTCCCCCGGTTCGCTGTTCCTTCATCCTCGGGTGAGAGCACTGCTTGGGCCGAGTGATCCTGTCGGTGCTGCCGCTGTGTCCCTCTGTCGGTGTCACCCAGGTTACCGTTCTCCAACTCCGGTCGCTTCCTGACCCTGACGGGGGCAAAGATAGCCCAAAACGCCCAAGCCCACAGTTTGGGAGCCCACACCCACTGTTCTGCCACACGCCACCTGAGCCGTGGACGACTGACCGATTTTAGTTCGCAGCTCGTGAGAAGTCGTAGTAGTGGTTCCTACTCCATACGGAGTACTGTGCCAGTAGACGAGATTAGTACTTCGTGCCTCGTCTTCCGGACGTGGGTATCATGCCTTAGCGTTACCAGAACCCCAGTCAGCTCTCACCATCTCGCCACAGGCGCAGCCCACACACCCTCTCGCTCTTTCCCGCTCTTGCCTCTTGGCTTTTTTTGGGACATTTCCCATCTTGGTGTCGCTGTGTCGCTCCTGCTTCGTTCGCTTCGCCCGCTCCAGCACCCGCACCCCCGAATACCCACTCTAAACGTCTGCGACTGCGACCAGACTGGTCTAACCTCCTCTCATGCAACGGCCAGCCTCAACCACAAGGCACGACGACATCTTCTGGGCCTCACGTCGACATCCCCGACACTTTCCGCTCTGTGCTTCCGACCGAGACGCCGAATTCGTTCACGATCGGTATTCTGCGCCCAGTTCTGTGATTCCTTGGCTGTGACACACGATCAGGGCTTTGGGATCTAGTCCCTTCGCACTCGGCGCGGTTTCTCCTTCGTGGTGTAGCTAGCGGCGGAATATCTGCCAAAAGCTTACCCATGCCCCCCGAAAGGGACTTTGTGCTTCATCGCTAGGCCCTTATCAGCCTTTACACTTCCAAATTTTACCGCATCAACATCAACATATTCAAGAATTCGTCGGGATGGCGCCCGTTCGCCCCTGTCAGCTATGAGCTCGAGGACGCCAATGGGTGTCCAGCCGCGACAGCCTCAACGAGGCCTCGGCTCCACGTTACACGTCCAAAGACCTCCTAATCATCACCAACGAAGTATATCGTCGTCGTCGCAACAACAATACCTTCCAACTTCACCAGTCCGGCGAGATGCTAGCGCAGCCCTCGATTCCAGTGCCGAACCCGCCGAGACCATGTCGGGTCGTCATGTGTCCACTCCAAGACGGCAAGGCTCGAAGTTACGGCTCGAACTGTCAAACGAACTGATCTCAGCCGGCCCCATATCTGCTACCGAATCACCACAGACTCTTACGCCGTCTCGCCTGATGCCTCTTTCAGACCCCATGGAGACGGACAATATGAGCCCGGCATTATCAAGGGTTTCACAACAAGATAGCGATAATCCCCCTATGCCAATGCCCAGGCGCCGACTACCCCAAACCTCGCAGGCCATACCTTCCACACGGCCGGCCGCTCCGACACCAGCCTCCACTAAGAAAGACGTGCGGCCGAAGCCGTATACAGTCGAAGTTCCTGCCGCGGCCCCTCGATACGTAAATACGAGTAGACATGAGACCAGGAGCCGAGACCCCTTCAGCAAGGGCCTGTTTTCTGGTAGTGCGGACTTCTTTCCCTGGTCCGGCAATCATCATGAGGATGAATGGAGCACCGAGGCTATACAAAAGGGCACGTGGGATAGAGGTAGTCAAAATGAGGCGTCCTCAGCACGACTTGCTATCTTTCCAGCATTGAAACAGAGGAGCGGCCTCAATGCTCTATCTACTTTATTCATGGGCGTGTTGAACCAACGGAGAATCCGTGGCCAAATCACAGCCCCGTCAACCTTTAAACCTCCGCCTCGGGTCACCCTTACGGACACAAAGCGGGAAATATGGCTAAAGGATTTGGCAAATCCAGCTATATCCCTCAGGCGCCTCAGCAGAACAATCCCACATGGTATTCGGGGCAGGACACTCCTTGACCAATGTTTGAACAAGGACGTCCCTACAGAGCGAGCAGTCTGGTTGGCCAAGTGTGTTGGCGCCAATGAGATCCGAGCCTTCAAGAGGAAAGGAGCTAGCGGAGCGTTCGTTTTGGGAGGCGAGTTGAAATGGATCCGGGATTGGACTGTATTTGTTGAACAATTCATTGAATCGGTGGTGTCTGCATTTGGCGAACCTGACTGGAAATCAAAAGTGACATACGCGTAAGTTTGGATCTTGCTGCATAATATCATCGATGTCGGAGGTACTAATTCAACGACTACAGAATCCGTCTTGCAACATGTTTATACTCTGAACAACTACTCGATCGCGACCATTACTTGGAGTGGATTATCTCGGGACTGGAAAACAGTCCGCAGTCAAGAATCCCTATGTGGATATTAATTGGCCAAATATATTGGAATGATCTGCTGCAGTCACGAAAATGTGGCAGGCGCTTAGTCTTTGCATTGTTAAAGCATTTAAATACGGTACGGATGAGCCATGTCAGTGACGGCTAGATGAGAAGCTAATTTCTGCATATAGATTGAAAATGACCCAGACAGAGATATTTTGATTCAACTGTCCAGCCAACTGTCAACGCTAGTCATTTCTCTCCTCAAAACCAATCCCGAAAGTTTTGTTTGCCCTCCTGCTTGGCAGCGACTTGGCGAGACGTTGAGACTTGTGTTGCCAGCTGAGGACGCAGCCGCCCAGGCTGCGTATAATAACGTCAAGTTACGGAATACCAGGCTTTTAGTTGCCAATACGGCCTCACCATCTAGCGGCCGTCAGTATTTAGTACAGTTGCTAGATTCCACACTTCAGGGCAAGTGTGATTCTGGACTGTCTGCAAGATGTTGGGCGTCTGCAGATGATAAAGCCGGGATATTGAGAACAGCAGTCGAGTGGGCTACCTCGCTTCACCGGCCTGGGTTGGCCAAGGTTTATGTTGTGGCTGGTCTGATGAAGTCCTGGGGCGCTCATAGGATCAACGCTACTTCGACAATCCTTGATGCACTTGGAGACATACCCCCTGGTGACAACATCAGGAAAAGACTTATTATTCGACTAGTTGGCGAACTAGTGCGAAGCGGACACTTCTCAGTCGCGCAGTACATGCAATGGCTCATTGGCCGTGGTGGCCTGCATGGTGCTGAGGAAATCGATCCTGTCGACGGTCCTTGCCCTTCTCGTCTTCTGGTAGAGCTGCCTATTCACTGCCTTCCAGAGGAGCAGATGGCTCAGAGAGGCAGCCTCCTTAGGCGTGCCGGACATTACTCTGTTGGTGATGAGGCCAACGATATTTCCTCGGCGCTGCAATACGTGGATAGCTCTCTGGGCCTGGCAACTTATCTCAACGGCTCGGGCCCTTTCCGAAGACCTTTGTCATTGAAGAAGCTATCACGAAGAATCAGAAATAGCAGCTGGGCAGTACAGAGTGCGATTGGAGCTCACCTGTATTATGTTATAACGTCCCTACTACCTCACAGGCCCGACTTTGTCATGACTTTGGCAATGTTCAGCTCAATTCGCACCATGATGGAGACTGTCGAGGATTATTCGATGCTTTCGGGTATTCTCAAGGCCTGTTCCACTGGTCCAGACGTGGACACTCTCGCAGCCTGCGTCGACACTATTGACGCGCAGTTAGACATCTTTATGGCTATAGGCACTGCAGAGAGTCTTTTTGACGTATTCATTGAACGACTCAAGGCTATGAGTCGAGACCAAGGAATAGTCGTTCGCTCGCTGCTTGCGTCTCTCGCGTCCCTGGCTGCGAGGTTGCCACAAAGGGAGGATCTGGCAAAACAGCTCTCACAGGAATTGGCCCAGAACGATCGGTCCAACGCGATTGACGCCTGCTCCCCCGTCTCAGATAGCATGGCAACGCAAGCTCAAACGGCTGAAGGTGAGGTCTCCGAACAAATCGACAAGCTCCTCGCCAGTGGTAACGTCATTGACCACCCTACTATGAATCGTCTCTTTCGATACGTCATCATCAAGTTGGAATCCGGCTGGGGAAAATTGGATGACAGTCGAAGGGTATTTTCGTCGCTTCTGTCACGACTACGGATGCTGGACGCCCTTCATTTCGACAAGCTTATGGCAGACTGGGTCAGTCACATCAGAACCCTGAAGGCACGGCCTCCGTTGCCGGAACTCTTTCCGCTCCTTGTTTGCTTCGGTTGTTTGTCAATGTCGACAATACTCCACACTGCCAATGCTGGCTCTGTGGCTTTGGACACCACTCCCGATATTGTGACCTCAAAGACTGCAACGTACTTGCAAGAACTCCTCCAGCTTATCATCATGAAGTTACCAGCAACTGCGGTGCTCGATGCCGAAGAAACATATCGATTCCAAATTTACCAACAACGCGCCAAGTTTGAGCATGCGAAGGGGTTCCTAGCTTTGATACGCAATTCACTTGTTGAATACTCAGCTATTCAGATGCCCGGCCGAACTGCTTTGCTCCCTCTTGATAATACGGCTTGTCAGGATAGTCTCTTGGAGACCATGAGATTCATGGTTGTGGCCGATTCAGCAATTGTTGCAGAAGTGTTGAACATGAGCACGCTTCCTCCGGGGGCAACATCCTTGGCGCACAGGATTGTCACCAGACTTTTATTGCCTGAAGCGAACTCTGACCACCACCCATCGTTTGACCATATTCTGTCTCTTGCGGACGAGCTGACAATGCCGTTTTGTCAACTCAAACTCAACCTAAACCTCTCTGTAAATCTGCCTAGCACCTCTGATATGGAGGGTGAAAAGCCGTCACGATTTGAAGCGTTCGCCAAGGCCATGGATAAGGCCATAGAATCTCAGAATATCATTTGGACGAGGATGCTTCCATGTCTTGGTGACGACATTACTCAAAGCCTGAACACAGAGGCTCACACGAGATTTTTGAATTTGATGCCGTCGAGCAAATCGGAATCGTTGGCCAACGACACGACGGACGAGAAGCGCATCCGCCTCGCTGAAAACCTGCTCGGAGTCATCGAGGCCATCATCTCGGGCCAGCCACCCTCAAGATCTGCCTCGCTCACAAACAACTTGGTTGATAAACTGTCCGATATGTGGGAGATTGTCACGTCGCAAGACGGGGATCGAGCGATGGCCAAGAAGGAGGTCTTGGAGCATTGGCTCCCTACGCTGCTACGATTTATTGCACTACACAGCATTTCTTCAGAGTCGGCAAATATTGCCACGGCTGGACCTGGTAGCTCAGCGAAGACCGCCGCGACCCCCAACCACGAAGTACGAGCTCGTATTATCCTTGTGCTATGTGGTCTGCTCCTGGAGATGGAGACTCTTCCGAAGGAACTTACAGGGTCCCTTGCCCAGCAGATATTCGATGTTGCGATACTCCTAGTAGACGCCCTGCCAGACGATCTACGAACACAATGCGCCAAGTCAATCCTCTTCCTGCCTGGTACCACAGCAAGCACAGGCACCACATCAGATCCACGTCTGTACTATCTCTTCAGCACGCCGCGACCAACATCTGCCGAGAACCTAAAGCTCGTACACCGCGACAAGTCGTCGGTGCCGTACACGGCCGCTGCCCGAGGCATGGGGGCAATGTATGGCATTGGCCCGACATTAAACGAAAGATTGAGCCCCTTTGTTCTCCGTCGCTGGGAGATCCTCAGTGAACCAACTCCCAATGTGGGCGAAAATGACACCAGTCTCAGCCTACGATTGTTCGAAGCAATCAGGATTCAATGAACCCAAAGGCATCTCTGATTCCCTCTCGGCGTGTTAATTTTTTTTTCTTCCATACTTTTACATTATTTTGTTCTACATCATGTTCAAATTGTTTGTTTACCGTCCCGGATTGCGGGATATCCATGAATAACGACCAAACTGGGAACCAAGCGAGAGCAACAACATACATTGTCATGTGGGATTTTGAAGAAAAGAGCCACAAGAGGTCTTGTTTTTGATATATCAGTATCGGGATTTTGCATCTTCCTGCTGTCTTTGTTCTTTTCCTGGATGGAGACTGCTTTTTTTGTTTATGCATGATGGATGGGTGAGGTCTTGGCGCATGAGATGCTGGCATGCAGTTGCGTCTTTTTTTCTTGCATCTACCATGTTGGATGACGGGCATTGGTTCGAATGGAATTGTTTTTCTTTTTTCTGTTTCAAGCATGGTGGGAGTGGAGGTTTTTGTTTCCATCTTGGATGAATAGACTTCAACATCAATCGAGTATATGAACCCTTTACTATATCCGTTTATGCTTTGTGCACATTTGTTTCACGGAGATGGTAGGAGCTTTTGAATAAACATGCAAACATGCTGCTCCTATAAACAGATTACCTCCGTTACCGACGATTATCATACACTTGGCAATGTACCAAACAAGAATATAAGACGCCAAATGCAATGGTAAGCCCCGCACAAAAAAAGAAATAAAACATCTTCGACCAGCAGCCCCATGATGACAAACCTGCCGTCCCGTTTTTAATCATCATCAAATATCTGATATGTATTTTGTAAAATCGTATCAATGACTTTAATCTGCCACCCTGCATCGGCAATGGCCGTGCTGGGATCGGAGCCCATGAGGGTAGGGCCGAAAATAACAGCCAGATTGTGCGAGTTCATCCTATTGACGTGGGAGTTGTCCATGACGCGGTAGAGATGGAGCGTCATGGCGCGCAGGGTAGCGTAGTTGGGGTCAGGGAGGGCATTGATGATGGCGTGGAGAGAGTCGCGGCGCACAATGTCGTCTTCGTTTTCTACTCGGCGGTTAGCAGACTGACAATACCGGGCGGGTTCGATGGGTGGATAAAGAGGCTACGAACTGGCTGCATTGACAAAGGCATTATGGTGTTCCGCTGTCAAGAGGGGATCAGGAAGGTCGCGGAAAAATTGCTTCAGGAGGCCAGTTACACTGTTTACGTCGTGATAGAAGTTTTCGGGGTTTCTAAAGTCCAGAGCAGGGTCGGATGAGTCTGACCGGAGGTTAGTTCATGCGAGACAGTGATATTTAAATGTATAGTGTTGCGACTTGCCTGAGTCAAACATGCCCTTAAGCTTGGTGATGTGGGTCACTGAGCCCGATTGTCTGTAGATACCCTCAACGCCCAGGCCAAAGAGATCCACAGCCTGGATACACTGGTATACCACCATTGGCACGGCCAGACCGTCTCTTTCATACAGTTGGTTCAGTGTTAGACCAAATACGACCTTTTTGGATGCAGCAGACTGGTCGTTCCCAGGTGTCGGGGCATAGGCCGGAGGCGGCGCACCACCGTATGCAGGACCGCTGCTGCGAGGATCCGTTGAAGGCTGAAACGGAGCTCCTTGAGGTGGTGTCGAGGACTGTGGAGATGGCTGAGAGCCCTGGAAGGGCAAAGCGCCAAGTTGCGGCGGTCCTTGCGAGCTGGCGGTGTTGCTGTATCTCGGCGCCGGTTGGGCAGAGTTCCTGCTCGAGAATTGCTGCTGCAAGGCAGAGACCTGCTGGCTCAACATATTGCCCTGGCTGAAGCTGCGGCCGTGAGTTTGGGCATAAGGCCGGTTGGAATCGGTCTTGCCACCTTGCGATGCAGGAGGGCCCTGTGATGAAACAAGGCTACCCATGGGACCGAAATTGCCGACGCTGCTTCTTGAGCCAGCACCGAAGGAGTTGGGGCCTTCTGGAGGAGGTGGCCCAGATGTTCCGACTGGCTGGATAGTATGCATACTCTGGGGCGGAGGTTGGCTGACGGACGATGGATTGTTGATCAAAAGCTGATGCGGCGAGTTAGAACAGTGAACAGCGTCCATAGCGGAAAGGGACAGTGAACATACCGGATTGCGCTCATATTTGACCTCCGTGTAGGGCTGGATCCTGGTATGCTGGCCAGCCACAAAGTCGTTGAAGTCCTTCTCGTTATCAATGGCGGCAACTGCCTGGCGCAAACTTCGCGGCTGACCAGCTCCTTGGGCGCCTTGGGTTTTGAACGGGCTGATAATCAGGCCGTTGCCGAGCAGGAGCTTCTCGTTGAAAGCGGCTAAGGCAAAAAAGGGTCAGCCTCAAGTCGGATAGCCATGGTCATGCGTGGGACAGCTTCAATCAAACTCACCAAACTTTTGCATCTGCAGTGTCACAGCCGAGTCGGTCTCGGAGATGAGCTCACGCAGGGCCTTGACGGCCTCGGGACGAGCAGACTTCTCAAGATGAGCCTTTTCGGCCTGCAATGACTGGACGTGGGCCGAATATGTTTGATCAGCCGCCTGAACCTTTCTCAACAAATCCTCTTCTTGTTGTGCTGGAGACTTGTGAGCCTTGAATGCGCCGAGCATCTTTCCGCTTTGTCTGGCCTCGCCTGTCCTTGCACGGTCATATTCCTCAGCCAGAGAATCGTATTTGGCCTTGCTCTTGCGCATGACCTGCTCCAAGTCGGCTACCTTTTGCTCGGCAGCCAGACCGTTTGCCTTCCACATTTTGCGCCCTCGTTCGCCGTTTGCCACCAATTCCAGCAAGTCTTCGTGCATCTGATGGAGCGAAGCGGCAAATTGTGATCCGTTCTCGGCCATGCGATCGTGAATAAAGACCATTTCATCGTAAGACTTGGAGAAGGTGCCCTGGCGATGTTCGGGTCGGCGCGCATTGTCCTGAGTAAGCCGACACAGTTTGCGAAGGCTCTGGGCGTGGTCGTCTTCGAGTACTGAGCGCTTCTTGAGGAACAGGGCGAATTCCTTGGCCGAGGCTAGGCTTTGCTTGAGTCGGTTCAACAGGGTTGGGATGCCCAGCTGGTCGATGTTAGCATGAGGCGCCAATAGGGAGGCGCACAGGGTGACCGGTAGATACCTCTGAAGTCATGACATCGTTGACATGCTTCGCCACTGTTGGGTCGACGGTTGGCTTGGCTTGCTCTTGGGTTCCGGAAACCGTTGCTGGAGGTGCCGTCGACGGCCCAGGTCCCTGCTGCGACGCGTCAATGTCACGACCCCGACCCTCGCCGCTCTGTTTGCCATCTGAGCTGTTCTCGAGGCCCGTGGCCTCGGCGTCTGGTTGCGAAGATTTGAGCTCGTCGGTAAGCAAGCTAATGGACCTGTCTTGTTGGTGCTGCTGAGAATGCGGCAAGGCATCGTCGTCGTTGGAGCTTCGCAAGTCGGCCATGGTGGCACAAGGTACAAGGTCAAAGCCCTCGTTCGTTGAGGAGATGCGGGGAGGGGGAACCTTCTTGGCCGGCCGGTTTTGTAGTCAGCAATGGCTGCTTTGCAGCAGCGATTCGTCGCAAGGGCCTCTGCAAACAGGCTCGTACCTAGGTCGTGGGATGAAGTTGTATTCGGTGTCGATGCAGCGGCTTGCGCCTCCTGACCAGTTTGTCTGCTTATGGCGGATACCAGCAACACAAATTAAAGTAACTCGGTACTAGTCTAGCTCTTGGTGCTCCTCTCTCCTCCCGCGTCAAGGTGGAACGAAGCCCGCCGCCCGACGCCGCCAGTCTACTTGAGCACTTTGAGACTTTTGAGCCCTGGAGCAAAACCCTCGGACCAAGGATTCGAGAAGAGATAGAGATGGGAGATGGGAGATGCACGGCCACGCGGGTGTGGGAGGCGAGGTGGCGTGTCTGGTAAGTATTGTAGATGTATGGATTGATGGATGGACGGATGAATGTGAAAGCGTAGGAGACCTGTACTATGTATGTAGGTTGGAGATGGCGGTGCCGAAGCCGATGCCCTTGCCCTTCCCCATGCCAGTACCAATGCCAGTGTTGATGCGAATTGACAAAGACGAGGATTCGACCCGATTGACGAAGAACAGTCAGCGGCCTTTGGCTGCGAGCTCAATGTACAAGTCCAAGTTGTCGGGCAATCAATTTATCAATCTGCATCTATCTGCACTTGTCGCTTGCACTTGCACTTGCACTACGGACTCTGCAGCCTGCAGCCTGCAGCCTGTTTTGCGCGTTTGGTGCCTTGTTTCCCCGTACTGTGCTGTGTGCAACCTCCACGCCAGACCACAATGGCTGCTTCACACTGGTCTTGTCTTACGCTCTTTCGTCTGGTATTTGTCGTCTGGTCGACAACAGCCTGGGCCAGGGACAGGCACGGAATTCCCCCGGCCATGCGATGACGACAAGGTGCCGTGCTGAGCCACGTTTCCCGCCACCCAAAAGTGACTGTGCTTGGAGCCAAGGCTCGGCTACGGCCATGCGACAATAAATACACGAGGGCCCATGCAGATTGTCATGTGCCCGACCTCGTCGACTTTGCTGAAGAAGCGACAATCCGTCCGTCCGTCGTTTAGCCACCAGACTGTTCTCGGCAACTCGGCTGACTGCTGCTCAAAGCCAACATACACTCTCGTCTGCTTCGTAAAAAGTAGCACATACTTTCGCATTCCCATCTGTTCCGCTTTTTCTTTCGCAGGAAAATTATGACCCGACGTGATCATCTGCATCTATTTACGGGGACAGCTCCCGCCCGAGACAAGCAGCACAGACGTCGGATGCTCCATAGATACTGAGAACCTGGTAAATTTGGAAGGGAAAAAAAATAATAACAAATTACGCCACACGCCTTTGCATAACTCGAGACGTATCATTCGTGTCTGGGCTACCATGTTACTGTTGCTGGCGCAAACATTGTTTGGACTACGGACTCCAATCGATGAAATGGGCTCATTGAGCACACCGAGTAGTAGTAAAAAAAAATTGCCAGGTGAGAGAGGGACGCCGAACTAACTCCCATCTCCAAGCAAACACACCACGCGCATACACGTTACCATTGTTGGTAGTTGCTGTTCCGGTCTGGATACGGCACGGGTCGAATGCAAACAATGGACGCACCATGAGCCGCGCTTCATCTTTGTCTCGCAGCAACCAGAACACAAGAGCACACTGCACCACAAAACCAACATCCAGAGAAAATAAAAATAGGTTATTGCCCAAATCCGTCCTTTTATACTGATGAAAAACGGAGCTCGGATTCCTGAACACAGTGAAGAGAAACGAGCCTTGATATTTTCCGACCAGGTAGCCTGCCGGCTATGCTAACTTGACATCCATTTTTATACCGTCAAGCAAGACAATTGTCCAGCGCCTCAACCCCGAAGAATTCGACCTGATTTGTTTTGTATCGTCGCAAAACAATCCTCGCCCATGCACTCTAATATCAACAACAACCGTAGTTCGTCATCCGTTCATAGTCGTTCCATGCAATCCCTCCCACGCAACATCGTCTGCCACCAGTAATTTCTTTATCGCAGACGTCTGGCCTCACGTTCAGACTCGAGCAGGCAAAGGATGTCGTCCTCACGAACTATGTAGCACAATGGGTCAGTCATGACACAACTCCCCCATCACTCAATTTGCATCACCAATGTCACCTGTTGGAACGTGGCGACACTGTGAGAAGGGGAAGGATTTGCCATACCGGGTCCCTTGACGTTTCGGATGATGGATCGGGTCTGGTCGTCCATGAACTCGACGCGCACCTGGGTGACACCACCACGGGAGCCTATCAACCTCAACATGTTAGCCTTGCCATAGCCCAGTAGATCCTCATCTCTTTGATTCATCGAAACAATTTTTATCAAGTGGCTGGGCTTGGGGCGGTATGCGTGGTATGCAAGCGGAATTTCTCGAGTTCGTAGTTATCCAAACACATAGATGGGGCAAACAAGAACCAAATTCCAATATTTTTCAGGCATCCTGTGACATGTCGGGAGAGGAGAGGATGGGCTTGGTTTCGTACCGGTTCGGCCGAGGACTCGGGTCACCTTGACCAGCTTGACGGGAGCCTTTGAGGAATCCATTGTGAAATTTGTGCTTTTGTATTTGTCGACGGGAGACGTGTGGTGTTGAAAAGCGAAATTTGGCAAAAGGTTCCCTTGGGTCGTGTGAAAAGTGGACGCAGCTATTTTGTGCTATTAAGCAGGGTTTTCGACAGTCCCCTGTGGTGGGCAGCCGGTGGGCCACGCCAACCGACAAAAGTCACGTGTGTGGACTGAGAAACCCCAAACGCAACCCCGATGCTGAGGGACCAGAGGGTAAAAAGTGAATGCCGGATAAACTTATTATCCGACAATGCATAAGCCCCATGGAATTTATACGATTTTGAACCTAGATCCCGTCTTAGGGTAGGTGCTGTGTCTAAAAACATCCTGATAAATTATGTTGCTGCATTACCTCAGGGGCAGGGATTGGTCTATTCAGATTTCGGCAATTTATAAATCCCTTCCTACTCTTCCCTTGGATCTTGCAAAATCCCTTTCTGGACAATAATTGGGTTGCTTCTTTGGGCTCTCTAGCATCGGATATCTTATGACTCAAGTGCTGTCCTTCGTTCAGCAACAGCTCCACTAACACAGCCAAGTGCCCTTACGCTACGCATCTTGAGGCGTGGGAAAGGCCGTATGGGACATTATCTTTAAGCGTTGTCTTGAGACTGGGCGGATGAGGCCTTGAAACGATCCGGGTCGTGTCTTAGGCCTCAAATTACCCGAGAGGAGTGAGTAGCTACAGCAAGGGACTTTGAATAGGGGGTGGTGAGTCGTTAAAGAGCCGAAGCCTGGCAACCAGTCGTACGCTGACACGCAGAGTTATCTCGGGGAGTGTTTGCTCGCCAAAGATAACAACTGTTTGCCAAGGAACAAAGTCGAGGAACAAACAGAAATGCCCCGTAAAAGTGCCTCGTGCGGATGTTTAAACGTGCACTATTTTCTAATAACCGTGTGTCTAATAGGTCTAGTTTCGCAACAGAACGATGCAGATATCGTACCGGCCTGTTCAGGGCTCTGGGTGGCCTTGAGACGCAGTTACGCACAGTCAGTTGCTCCAAGCCTGGAGGACATGATTGTTGGCGAAATTGCAGCGACTGGCCTTCAGAATATTTGTAAAAGAATATAAACAAAGTCAATGAGACTTTGAAGGTAGTGGTAACACAGACCATATTGTACACTCGATTTTAGCTGCTGGACCGGCCTCAGATGAGAAAAGCTAATGCTGTCCTCGGAGCTCTGAAATATCCATGACTTTACAATCTTGGGCTTCCCAGTGCAACCGACGCTGCATCCAATACAAGCTGGTTGATGTAAGACAGGAGAGAATGTAGTAGTTCGAGTCTGTGTAACCACCCAAAGCACGGGCAATCACGATGACGCATGCGGAGCAGGGTATGAAGACCAGGAGGTTGGGTCAACTGAGCTACGCAGTAGTCAATGAACCACAATGAACCACGGTACGATGTTCGGCCTGTTCAGCCTGTTCAGCCTGTTCACCGCTGCCTGACCGTGTTGTGTTGGTAGTGTGACCGGATGAGAAAGCCGGGGATTCTTAGCTAGTCCCCTGATGCCTGGAGACGCGTTATAAAAGTCGCAAGCTTACCAACGTCCGTCAGTATAGATTGTATGAACATCACCAGCTGTATCTACTCTGCAACATGTTTCAACATTCATTGCAATTTCTCGTAACTCGAGTGCCACTCACCATGGGCACGAGAGCGAACGCGTCCAGCTCACAGTTTCCGACATCGCTACGCCCATCTGAGTTGACTGACGTCTCGGCCCTGTCAGTAGCAACTCAAGTAACCTCATCGGCCTCTGCTTCTCTTCGAGGGCTTAATAAAGAAATCGATGTTTGTAACACAACACCAGTCATGTGAGTATCATACTGTGGTTCTTCCTGTCTTATTTCTCGGGGTCTTGCTCCCTAGAACAGATATTCCCGTTTGCCCAACCTGTCAACCAATCTATTCCGGTCAACTTTCCACCACCTTGAAACAAAATGCGAACACTCACTAAGGAATAAATCTCATAGTGACTCAGACACCGATAACAACATTGAGGGCGAAGCCATGGCTCGTGGGCGAGTCATCCTGACAAGCACGTCAACCTGGTGCCGAACTTGGGAGAGCAATATTGACGAGGGAACTGAATATTTTCCAGAGGATTCTGCATATTCTGATTTAGACGACAGAAGACTAAAAGGCGCCGAAAGACAGCGTGCTGCCCAAAGTAAGGGCGTTCCGCTCGGGACCTGGATAGACTCCCAGGTTCTCCAAGATGACAGAAAGCACGCCGTTACGGGATTCATAGATACCGTAGGTCTCCTACAAACTCACGTTCTACCGGAAACAAAACACGGGGAGTCATTGGCCGAGGAGTATCCCCTGCCCCCTGGTTCTGGCAGATGCTGGATTCGGTTCTCCAAAATCAAGTTTTCCAAGCATCTACACGGCTTGGATCATTTGCAAATAAAGGAATATATCCGAATTCTAAGTGAATACAGAGAAGCCGAAGGCCGCATTCCGGGTGATGAGGAGGCTACCGTGCAAGCGGCCAAGTACCGTCTCTCAAAGGACCCAAATTGGGTCAAGTCCAAGAAGCGATATATCGAATATAGCGATCCCGAGTGCGAACTTGCACAGGTCCGACCCTTCGAGGCTGCCGCGATGTATTGGGGCCGGGCTGGACCACTACCTATCCATTCCCTAAACTGCGAGACTAGAGCTCGCGAAAGCCAATGGCAGGGCGTAGGGTTTACGAAGGAAGCCAATGTATTGGCACATGGCGAAATCGGACTTGCTCAAAAGCAGGCAGATGGTCAGATCATGGATCGAGGGCAGGCGGTAGAGGCCGCCGCAGCAACACCTTCCATCAACCGCCAAATGGTCTTCCGCGAATGGAAGGATATACAGAGGCTTGACAAGGCATGTCCTCTGCAGGAAACACCTAGCAGGAGTAATAGTATATATAGTGCCAAGATCTATAACGGCATCAAGTATGAGCGCCAGACGACTGGAGCTTTCATTGGGAAGCTCGTCTCGCAGGGTGTATTAATTAACATTGCTGGTGAGGACTATTTGGAGCATCGTGTTCTTGCCATGCCCGGGTTCTGTTAAAATCAACCTATGCTCTGGACTCTGTGTACATACATGTAGGAAAGATTATAAACGTTCCCTCATCCCGTGGTTATGGTGGTGAGATCCAACAAATCGCAATAGTCAGACGAAGGGTAGGCAGCTGACAGACGAAAGAAACATGTGTATCATAGTCCCGTACACTGATGTGTAAAGTACGGAGTACAAGAGTTTAGTTATCGTTAAGTAGCCTCGCAGTTGCAGTTTGAAAGGCATCCGCTACAAGTTGAACCCGGGAAATGATGTTCTCCCGCAAAAGCTACACTACACACTCGCTTAGGAACAAACGAGGCAAGCTGCCAAGTAACTATGTAATAACCAACTCATCACACCGGGGCATCATGTTCTGGTTTCTCATGTTGGTCACCACCCAACAAAACGAAATGCTGGTTTTGACCGTCCAAGCCCACTCGACGTGTCATATTTGCAATTTGTGTAACAAGCAATGCCAGCCCACCCCCTACCAGGTTGTGTCCTTGCGGGGCGCCTCGTACTACTACGTACATAGTGAGGACTCATTCCATAATTAGACTCCTTGTTGTTTCTCTCAGATCGTGCTTGGGTGGCTGGCGCGCACTGACTGTGAGTTCTTGATCGGCATCTCGCTTCCCGAAATACCTGCCATCCAGTCCAATAGTCTATGGTCTGAATCTGATACTCTAACATTTTGTCAAGGGGGGTTCATGCCGATGTCGAGTGGACAGTCATTCCTAATCTTGTCCATGAAACTGTGATTCAATACCTAAGCAGAGTCAAACGTAACGACCGACTTTACCTAGTCGAATTGGCCTGTCTGCGGCCGCCTAACAACTACTTGGCGCAACCACGTCTCTGATTATTTTGGCAAGGTTCCTATTCCACAAAACTATCTATAATTTCGGCAGTGGCGAACCCGGAATCGCCAAGACGAGCCATGGAGTTTGTCGAGGTGAAGAAATTGGCTTGTTGGCAAAATGGCTTTGAACAAACCCTGATGTGGAATATTCCCTGTGTTTTCAGCACCATGGATCTTTGTTCATGCTTATGCAGCTATAACTCAGCCGGGTAGACGTCACCAATTAAGCATTGCGGCAGGATGACTATGAGGATATCTTCTTCGCTCAATTGCACATTTGGAGATGAGTCTGATACTATTTTATCCACCACTTCCCACTCTGTCATGACACAGGACCCATTTGTTAATTGTACAAATAAGTACCTTCCAACGAATCAAGGATAGATTGCAGTGAAGACATTGAGCAGCTTCAAAGCAATTGACGTATATGAGATGTTGACAACCTGTCGCAACCAGGTCTCCACGGTGAATGATGATGAGTCTCGGAAGGTCAGTAATTAAGTTAGATTATAAATGAAAAACCCGACAAATGAAAAAAGACATGCGGAGGCAATACGTATATATGTTGGCGAATCAGAAATTGCGTCAAAGTATTTCATCGTAGTAAAAGCATGAATAAACGGGGTATAACGTCCGTCGTCACCGGACTAGTCACAAGATGTAAACGTGTTTTGAGAAAATGCCTTCATGATATATTATTAGGACTCAACCACCGTTGGCAAAGCGTTTTCCGGCCAGCATGGTGCATCAACCACGGCGTATTTCAAGCCGTCTTGCTCCTGCAGCTCTTTGCACAGTACCTCGATTGCCAAGGTCCACCTTGCCGTACTTCGAGATTGACGCCCGTCGAAGATGCTGTGAAATTGTCCTACTTCTTCCTTGTGTTTGTTGACCAACTCGTCCCTTGCCTTTCGCTGCTCTTCAGCTTGAACCTGGAGATCTGCTTCATGCTTCTCGAGGAGCTCCTCCATTCTTTTCCCCTGGCGATCTCGCATCATGTTGATCTTGGACTGATGTTGTCTTTCCATGTCGTCGCGCAAGTTATACTGGATCCCCAAATCTCGAAGGTTTTGCTCGGTAACAACCCGTGGTGGCAGGGCTGATCCGTTTGGATTTTGCCCTAAACCATCGCAGTAGGCTTCCATATGCTTTATTCGTACTCGAATGCTTTTCTCTGCTTGCTCTAGTGATTGTCGAAGTTCTAGCTCTTCCGCAATTTGACGATCGTCAAGTTGGGTGGTTTCCTTTGAATGCTTCTGAGACAGCTGTCCCTCTTCCTCGGCTTGCTGGTTCATTAGTGCAATCTCCTCCGCAGCATGCCTTGCTTTCAGAGAGCTCTCAGCAGAGCATCTGAAGTCCAGAAACCGCTGCTTCTCTTGCTCTTGGGATGACCTCAATGCTATCATGCTGGGGTGTGATGCCGATCGTCGTTCGCACTCCTGTCGTTCGGCTTCTCGTTCCGCCTTTGCCCGCGCTACTCGCTCCGCTTCCTCCTTTCGCCTTTTAGCCAATCCTTCTTCCCCATTGCAAACATTGGGACAGCCGACTGCGCTATCCCAGACACCTCCACAAGAGTGACAGAATTGTGCGCTGCAGGCGCATGTCGTCGGGCCAGTACTATCCGAAAGCTCTACCAACTTGCGACATCTATAGCACCGGCGCCAGCTGCTTCGTCCCCCAATCTTGAGTGCATCCAAGAGTTCCCAGTCTTCGGGACAGTGAGTACCAATGGAATGCGCGGGCTGCTTACATGTAGAGCAAACTTTTGTCTGGCACTTCAGACAAGTAACTGCAGAAGGCAACTTGGGGTCTAGTCTTTTCAAGGGTGGTATAAACTCCCCACATAACGTGCTGCAGCAAAAGATCCTCGACTCGGATGGCGTGCTATATTGATGAACTGCCTTCAAAAACGATTCCTGAACATCAAGATCAAGAGACTGCTTCAGGGCATCAGCTGGCACTGGCTGGGCGCAGCAGCTTGGAGGCATGCGCGTCTCATGGTTGATGGCCTGAATCACCAGGTCCCTGATACAATCGGTACAGTGTGCATGGCCGCATGGTAAGCTTTTCAGTCCGTTGGTCTTGTTGAAGGCAGCTTGACAGGCGAAGCAGGAGCTAAGTGATGAACACAAGTTAGCATACCCCGAGTCATGGCCGGCCTGGAAGGATAGGCCATCAGTAGGAGCTCAGAAGAAGAGCTTGTTCACATACACTGGAGTGTCAAATAAGCGAGTTGGCTTCTTTCTGAGTCTCATTCTGTTTCGGAATCCTGTGGTTACACCTGATATGCTCTTCCGCGTGGTAACGCTGAATATGCTCTGTCCAGAGCTTTCGATCACAAGACTTGGCTTCCGGAACTTTGGTTCTTCGTGAACGGTGTCGATTTGGGAAATGTACTTTTCATACGAGGCAAAGTTCAAAGCCTTGCAATGAGGTCTGTTGATGTTGCTGTCGAAGGATGAGAGCTTTGGACTAACCCCACCATATATAGACGAGTGAGGCGTGAGATATGTTGTTGACGCTTCTGAAATGGTGGAAAATGTCTGCTCTCGTGAGGTAGACTCGGTTGAATCTGACGCACTCGAAGTGACACGTTTAGCTTCTGCGACAGACGGCAAGGTGGCCATGATGCCCAAACCGTGAGCCTTCTTCAACAGCTCGCGATCATATAGAAGTTCTGACTTGCCAGCACGCAGGTGCATCACCTCAGTGCAATAAAGACCATCTTCCAGCTCGGGAAGATGGGCGGTAGCGTCCATGATAGCTGCTTTTCCTAGTCTCACTTCCAGCTGCAGCTGTGATCGGTAATGATGGGGTTTGTACCTTTTGTCGAACAATACAACAGGGGCACCCGGATTATGTCTTCACGAGCCGCAACATCATTCCGCCCACGGGTAGGTCTGGGGCCACGCACAATCAAATACATTTTCTTGACGCATAGGAGGGCGTGAATTATTAAACCAACAAAAGTCGGGCAATCGAGTGTGTGATCTGAGTGACTGCAAGTAGGGGGTGTGTGGAGGACGGGACATGGGCTGGACTGGATGGGCTCATCCAAGACAAGCGGCACAGATCCGCCTCGCGATAGGCGCCATTCTCGACGTAATGGCTGCCGGCCCAAGATGGGACGGGAATGTCTGAGAGCGACGGCGACCAGGAGACTAGGCAGGCAAGCAGGGTCTCAGAAATAAGGAAAGCTAGCTAGTGCTAGCCAGGGCTTCTGAAGGGATTGGATCGCTGGGGCGAGCAAATTCCAAACACTGCTCAGCCATATGAGAAAATACCAATGACCAACAGAAGGGGGGGTGGGAGATGGCATCGCGAAGTGACGGCTTATTGTTTTGTATGGGGCCCAAGAGCACAAAGTACGGACGGAGTACGACTTCCTGGCCTGGGTATCAGGTAGAGGAGAAGACTGCAGAATGAGTAAGAAAAGGGACCAGAACAGGGGTAAATTTTTTGTTGGTCCCGGTCGCAATGCTTTGCTCCTGAACCTGATGGCCTGATGCCAACGAAAAGAAGCAAAGTCGCAACCGGCGTTGGCAACACTTACGTACAACAAGCACAAGCAAACGTTGGATAGCTATGTAACCATCCGCACAGGACCAAGGATGCGCAGTTAGCAGGTCGAGTGAGGCTCATCGGGATAAAGAGACGGAGGGAGGCTTAATTGAAAGAGCGGATGTGGCAGCAACATTGATGCTTGACTTGCATCTAGATCAATCACGACAATGCCAGGGCGGGCGCAAAAGGGCTGTTGGATTTGCTGGTTGACAGGTACACACATACAGTGGATCGTAGGTAATTCCGAGCAAAGCCCCATTTTACACTAAAACTCATATATTTTATTATTAATTATTAAGCTTAATAATATACTTAAAAAGGTTTTTAAAATTTAAATAAATTATTCATTACTTAAAATTTATATAAATAATTTTTATTTATTATTTATTATTTTATTTACTTACTTATAAAGCTTTAAAAATATTAAAAGTACTTTTACTAATAAATTTCTTAGTAAAAGTACTTTTATTAAGTTTAAAGCTTTATATTATATTAAATAATAAAGATTAATATAAAAAAATAGTATATATATAATCTTTAAGTAATTTTAAATATAAAGATATTTTCTTTTATTTAATATAATAAAATATAATATAATTATAAGCACTTAAAAAGTAGAAAGGTTTTTAAAACTTAAATAAATTATTTATTACTTAAACTTTATATAAATAATTTTCATTTATTTTTTATTATTTTATTTACTTACTTATAAAGCTTTAAAAATATTAAAAGTACTTTTACTAATAAATTTCTTAGTAAAAGTACTTTTATTAACTTTAAAGCTTTATATTATATTGAATAATAAAATTATTTGTACATTGACTCGCACATAACAATCATCGATGACAGCTGCGGGAGGGTCGTACCTGCCCTCTCGATTGTTTGATCACCGCAAAGTTTAATCACAATCCCTGACACTGACGCCGACGCACTGATGGGGTGACCGTGGGGCCGGGGAGAAGGGGGGAGCTCAGTGCTCTGGTACTACCGTACGGAGTACTAAGTAGCCTCTGGCTGCAGGCCCGCTGCCAACTATCCGACTCTTGCCAGTTGGCATCTCAATAGCCAATAGCGACCAACATTTTTCACGGAAGGAGCAACATAAACCATACATGTAGACCTTTTTTTTTTCGGTTCAGCACTGAGTTGATCGCTCCAACATCCAAATGTCAAAGCGTCTACCTAGCGTGCTCATAACCCATCGTCGTCATCACCCAATCGCTGTCTGATATTAATTTCTTCATTTCGAACCCGCTGAAAATAGCATCTCATATTCCCGTACGGAGTACATGGTATCATAGATGGAGGGGTGAAGACATGGCCATTACTTACTCTATTGTACGTCGTTGCACTCGTAGTACGCAGTTTACAAATCTTTGTAAAGACCTTGCAGGGCTACGGGCCAACGGGAGAGGCTTGAACGAATCGTCCCTGGTCAAACTGGTGTGCAAGCCCCAGCCCCCGCAGCTTACATAGCCAGCTAACAGTTCTCATTACGGAGTAGGGAGCAGAGAAACCTGCAAACCGTGTCAGGGATCTTAGTGGCATATCCTGTGGCAAATCGAAGAGTGGTGGTCCGGGAGGTGGACAACTACGTACGTCAATTCTCCGAGCAATGGATTGTTACAGCTCGATCCATCAGATAACTGCTGACAACAAGGACCACACCACTTTCTGGCACGTACATACGATACAATATGGAGCAAGTGGCTACCGAAGGCTGGGAGATTTGTATCGACAGGCAGCTCGAAACACAACGCAAACACCATCTCATCTCAAATCCAAGGAGCCTTCCTATTGCCGGCAACCCTGAAGGAAAAGCCATTGACTGGAGTTGAGGGCAGCGAGCACTTGTCATCCATTCTTGTGGGACTCCCAAGTAGCCTGAGAGTCCCATCATCTTGGTTGCTAAATATGACCAGCAGCGTCTACCTGTCCGTGTATCCATTTTAGCGCAACCGCTGGCCGCACTGCAGTTTCCGGGTAAATCCGCCGTAGTGGCTGTTCATCTTGCGGAGTACGGAGTACGGAGAACCAACCGTCTGATCGGTCTGCCAGACAGTACGGAGTAGCATCGGTCTACATCGAGAAATTAAAGTACATATACCAAAGCAGAGATGAACCTCTCAGAAGATCCCTGCGCCATGGCAGTCATCATTTTTTTAAGCCACCAATCAACACCAATGTGAGCAAGAGTATGCTTAAAATTTCACCCTGCCATCGCTTTCAGGAATCCTACTAACGATTTGATGAGGGAATATTTGGAAATGATCAAAAGCGGCCCAGACGGGTCAACCTGATCCACTGGGAACGGACGAAAAAAAAAGGTTCATCCCTGATCTCTCGAGACAATAATGGTGACCGTGACGGTTGACAGTTGGCAGGCAACGCAGGGACCGGCCGACCACCTCCCTGCGATTTGTCCCCTTTGTCAAACGCGACGGGTCATTGATTTCATGATCGCTTCGCTGTTCTGATTCCTGAGCTGTGACGGGCCAACAATGTTTTCGCCTGCCCAGATGTAATATTGCATTCATATCACATCCGGGTATCACAGCCGAATCAGACGAACCCCACAGCAACCTATTGACGTCTCAAGCAATTCGGAACAAAGACAAGGGCAAACGCAGGGCAGGACACTTCGTGCCACACCTTTTCGCTGCTCCAAATGGTCTCCTTGTGTGAATGCACTTGGCCAATCTAGAGGAGATTAGTAGAAGAAGCAAATTACTCCGTATTGTACTCCGTTACCTGCTCAGGCAAAATGGGATCCAGTCGACGTTCCGTTGTCGCACCATCCTGATCTCTGGGCGTGGCTCTGGAATCAACTTGCACAGAACTTCATAGATCTCAGCACCAACATTCCTAACATTCCCGTTGCTGCACCACCTCATCATATATTCAAAGCGCGCAATTTACGTCCCGAGTCCAACTTCGCGGGAGCTCGGGACCAATGCCCGTGAAACAAAGGCTACAGTCGGTCACGGGCTTCATTCACCCAGTAGGGACTCAACCAACGGCAGTTGTTCCCGCCCCGCCCAACCGGGAGCGGTGTGAGGACGACTCGAAGTCTCTGAGAAAAATGTGAGACTTGGTTCCTTACTCGCACACCGAAGGACTATGGATCAAGAACAACAAAGGACAATGACGGCTGAGATCTCAGCCCACTGCTCTCTCGGGCACGTTGAATAAACCCAGTTCTACGGTTCAACCATGTCTACGGAGTAAGAGAGCAATCATTTGTCTCGACAATGGAGTTTACAGAAGCCAGACTGGGGCAATTCGCGTGTTGTTACAGGCTTGCAAGATCCATGGCCCCCTAGCCTGTCTTCAAGCAGCTTCTCAGCCTACGTGTGTTAAAAATTTTTGGTGCGCTTAGCACTATGCAGCTTGACGAAAGAAACGAAACGGTATGGCAAATCATACTTGGGTGGGTACCGCGCTGATTCCGCGCTGGGACATGTCACGCCTTACTTCATAAGACTCGTCGTGATCATCTTTTTCGTGGTGCGGAGTGAAGATCGTTAGGGCACTTGCTGCCAGATAGACACGCCAAGGCGCCTATTGCCGAAATCTAGCCTCGGAGTCTTGCCATCCCGAGGGTTCCCTATGTATTTGCTTTTTTTTCAATATGTGAGACAATCACTGGCGCCGACTAGCCAGCATCAGACCTTAGCAAATGAAAAGAAATGAGACGGTGGCTTGAGCGGGCACGAGAAACAACGCTCCGAGAGGTATGTGTGTATATGCGTGCGTACCGAGAGGCTTCCGTAGCTTTAGCAAGATCAGGGTCCTTGAGTCTTTAGTGCCATCAATAATTGAGGCATTCTTGTACATCTCAGATAGTGGCTGTTATGAGGTTCGGCCCTATTTCTCGGTTAGCGCATCAAGTCAAGCGAAAGCAGACGATGGAACCCTGCATTTTCGTCTATCAAGAGATCGCTGACAGCAGTGTTGACCGTCAACAGCCCATCTGATTTGTCAGGCTTCCCGTTGGAGTAGAGTTTCAAGCTTGGTCAGCAAGCCTAGTTCAGGCGTCAGGCCATTCCCATTCACACATTGGTCGGGGATACTAATATGTTACCGAACTATCATGAGCCAGGCGATACGAGACAGTTGCCGTCCCCGAAGCGTGCCAGACACCGAGCACCTAAGATAGTCAAGACTCTAAAACATCAAGGATAGAGCCTGATGAAGAGGCGTGGCATCTTATCTGAGATGGCAAACGCAACTTGCCAAGTGCTCGCTGACGTATCTGTATCATTTGAGGATATTGGTTCTGTCAAGGCGCCTCGCTAATGCCAGAGTTCGGTGCGTGTATAAGAGGCGGCACCTAATAATATCATGGCTAGGTATCGATTGCGACGCCACGGCTAATATAGAAGAATATGCAGGACTTCATATGATGCTATTCTACGGTGCAAAAGAACGAGGCATGTTGATTTCTTTTTCTCATCAACCAGCGGACGTCATTGAACAGGCTTATAAGGAGGCACAAGTGCAGGATAGCTGGTGGAATAATGGTAGCAATACTGTCTTGACAAGAACGAAAAAGGAAAAGAGATGAAGAAGAAAGGATAAAGAAATATTAAAAAAGAAGAAAAAAAAGAAAAGAGGAAAAAGGACGCATTCCCAAAATTGCGGACTCTGCATCATGCAAGTGCCAAATGCCACAGAAACTCTGGCACAATCCGAGTCAGTTTTCATGTATGCCTGGGATTCTGGGGGTTGTTACTTGTAACGGGCTCGTTTTTGTAAACGCCATTGCTGACGCCTTTTCCGCATTGTCATACGAGAATTCTGAATGTCCTTGGTTTTCGTGGTAACGATTTGCGCAGGCTTGTTCTGCCGCCATCTGTCAGCCAAGGCTTCGGAATAAGATTGATGAATCGATGGCTGTAGCAACAAGGCCAGAAATATCATGATATACGGCGCTCTCTGTTCACGAGTTTTTGCTCTTGGACATGGCCCAATGCAGCTGGGTGCAGTTAATGTGAAGTTCGATCAACTTGGACACATGAAATGAAGTAAATCCCGAACCGGGCTACAGTCATTTCGAGTCACGCTGAATGTATATTCGGAGCAAGAAGCATTTAAATTGACAAGCTACGTGTGCGTATGACACTACACACTTGTGTAAGCGAGCGCACTTTGGTTTGTGCGGCTATAGATGGAACACATGTTACCATGGAAAAGCAAACCAGGACTATGACACAATGGACCATATGTCGACGCAGGCCGTATATCAGCACAACAGCTTCAATAAATGCAACAGTAAAATTGTGGCATAATTTAATGCCCTGATCTGGCTGCGCTTGCAATATTGAATGCTCTTGCCGTATGTGAGTGACTGTAGCCAGCGGTACTGTGCCAAAGCAACGGCCCGGCATCAAGGACTTCCCAACTACACCAACCAACGACGAGGTCAAACATCATCATTCTTATTGCTCCAGTCCAACCTCCTTCGAGACCGATCCTATCTATCGTCAGACACGTAGAGTTACGAGAATGTGGTGGGCCGAGCAGCCTGAGCAGGGCTCACTCCGCGCCATTATTCAGGCGCATAATCGGGAGGGCATCCTTGTCAGAGGCATTGCTTGGACTGGGATTCACCTGCAAATCTTGGATGTTCGGTTCCTGCAAGGAGAAGAAAAGCTAGGCCAGGCGCGAAGCATATGCCAGATTCCCCGGGGTGACACCGTGGTGGCATATCTGAGGTCTTGTATTCCCTCCGTGCAAAAAACTGGCATCCAAGAGCTCCTCGAGCTGCTTGATTTCCATGATATAGGGTCGGTGCACTTCACAGCACTTGAACACATCCACCTCAATTCTAACTGATGTTATAGGCAGAAGTTGCTTGATCTGGACTTTGACGGAAGGGCTGTTGACGCTATACACACGGACGGGGTTTTCAAGAACGACACCGGCAGCTCTTGCATTGCTTACCTTAATTTTGATACAGTGAGCTTGCAGCGAAAATTATACATCTAGGGGACCCAGCGATCGCCATCTAACGCTCCTATAACACGCCTTCGACAAAAGAAGCAGTGTCGAATTACGCCCCCAGAGTTTGCCAAAGATCCCTATATACTATGCATTTTGATCGCCCTAGCTCAGAAACAACTAGAGAAGCGAGACCAGAGAGACGAATCCGTGCGGGTGTCTTTGCTTGCCCTTCCACGACGGCGGGCAAGCCACCTCTACTTTTACACGACTTGCTTCCCCCCCAGCTTTCTGAACAAGTTTACCGAGCCCTCTTTATTCGTCGAATGCCCTACTGTTTCAATTTCGTATGTGAAAATTCCCTTGGCCGATCCTAGTGAGTTCCTTTGTCACCTGAAAGGCGTGCTCCTTAAGACGGGTGTATTAGGGGAAGGGGAACAGCCACAGCTGAAGCTTTGAAATGGGCCGTCGAGTGAGTAAACGCTGCCAGAAGTATTGCGTGTTCACATCGCTAAGTGAATACGAGACGTTTCAACTCGGAGAGAATGCTATCCCTCCTTACAAGAAACGCAATGCAAGATCCATTTGTCACGACTTGGGCCGCAACTCGTCGAGGCTAGCGACGCTGTCTACAGAAATAAAAGAACAGTTGGGTTTGTAGACACTTTCACTTCAAACCCGAATGCCACATGTCTCTGAATTCTGCTGACAGTACAGAACAGGGGTATCGCCACATACGTTGTTTGATAGCATTTTTATTTGTTATCCGAATGGATGGGAGTTGTTTGGGAATCTTGCCACCCACTGCCTTTGTTGACGGCTTTGGAAGTTATTGGCAAGATATTAGCGAATTTGAAGGGTGGAATCTCCTATCGGTGGAGATGTGGTTGGCCTATTGCTTTGAGACAATATTCAAAAATACTTCATTGTAATCTTATTCACCAAGGACAGCGTGGGTGGTTGTGCCATCCTCGGAAGCGTGAGTCGGCAAGTTGCAAGCTTGGACGAGCTCAAGTTACTAGTTCGTTTTTCTAGGTGCAGCAGAAATACCAGGAATAGAAATATTCATTCATTTAACCTTTTTGTCTTTGTCTGTTGCTATGACTTATTGCGGTGAAAAGCTCGAGAAGTCTTTTGCGATGTGGTGCCATGAGAAGCGCAGACAACTGATGGTCTTTGTCGGTCCAGACTGCATGCTTATTATGCTAGATTCAGGGCAAAAAAGGCCACGTCTGTATTTGATATATCTCTTTGTATTGCAAGGCAGGATTGCTAGTGGGGAGAACAAAGGTGATGCAAGACGGGATTCTGCAGACGGTATTCAGCGCTGATGCCGCACTGCAGTTGAATTCGTAGTAAGCCTGGCACCTGAGAATTGAGAATTGACAACTGACAGCTGAGGACAGGGAACTCAACTTTCAATGCCACATGAAAGGTGAAACTGGCCAGATGTCGCGCCCACGTCGTTGATTCATGCGCCTGCGGTGCAACTCTGAATCCACAGCCTGCACCCAACAGCCCACACAGCAGTGACACCGCATACTCGAGGGATATTGGCCATGCTGCATCTCTCTCGGCCTCTTGCTCAGCTCTTGTTCATGTTGATGACCCGATGCAAGTGATGATGGGAACGACTCCGTATGCCGACGACTCCGTAGTGTGCGTAGTTACCGAGTGCTACGCTGGGGACCCGGACAAACCTGGCCTCCCAAGCCCAGCCCCACTGTCGCCCGTCTCGGCCAGTTCCGCCTTTAATGTTGCTCACACTCCCCGTCATCGTCCGTCATCCATCATCCGTCATCTATCACGGCCGTTCTCTATCCTCGCATTGCTTTCTTGCAGACTCTCGCTACTTCTCCTATTTCGACCCCTGAATCCATCGATAGGATAGCACCTCACGCGACGGGCTGCACCAGTCTCGGCTTCACGCAGCCCCAACATGGCTGGTCTGATCGACCCGACCGTCGCGGGCAAGTATCCCGTCATTCTCGGCGACGGGCTGCTGGGAAAGACGTCCAACGACATCTTCACCGGCATTAGATGTACGCATTCTATGAAAACGACTCCCAATTGCCGCGCCGCTGCTTGCTGACACTCAGGTTCAGATAACCACAAACCTGTGCTATCCTCCGACGATGCTCCCAACAATGCCCGCCTCAAGCCTTCGCTCCCCGGCAAAACAGACTCATACGACTTGTCGTTTACAGACGACGACGGCGCATACTTATACACTGGCTCAAGAAACACCAGCAGCAGTCAATATGTCCTGCACTTCGATAGCGAGCGCAAGGCCTTTATCCTCGACAAGATTGACTCCACATTCAACATGAATGTCACGCGGCTTCCGGGGAACTCTGACTCAGCCCGTCTCAGTCGGCAGTATCCTCACCTCGACAGCAAACAAGGAGCAGAAGCACAGCCCCAGCGAGCCGCTCCGAAAAAGACCACCGCACCCAAGGACACATCTACGACCTCGGCTGCAAAGTCACAACCCAAAGAACCCAAGCGCAAGGCGGAGAAGAAGCAGCAAGCCAAAGAAGTGGCTCTCTCTTTCCCCGAGCCACAAAAGGAGAAGCCGAAGCCCAAACACAGCTCCTTTGACGAAGAGGAGGATGAGGACGAGGATGATGACGGAGGCCTGCTGATCGAGTACCCCGGTGCGGATACTGCTGCCAGACAAACCGACTTTTCGCCGGCATTCCCACCCCCGAGGCGGTTTGACGACTTTATGGACCAGCGAGACTCCGAGGCCGATGATGCGGATGGGGAGAGTGACGACGAGCCAGACATGGACTTCAAGCTACCTAGTCCTGTGAATCACCACCGGCCGGAACCGATGGACCAGGACGCCATGGAGGTAGAGCATGACGAGGGTGACGGCGACGTTGCCGATGATTTGGAGGATGTTCTAGAGAAGGAGATGGAGGAGGCGTTTGAGGATTTGGCGAATAGCCAGGGGGAAACGCCCGTGGGAGGCGACGAGAGTGAGATTAGCGAAGAGGACTAATGAGGTACCAAAAGGGCTTGATTTATGGCGTCTGGGGCAAAAAAGTGTGAATAGAGGTGTATAGATTCTGTTTGAAAATTCCAGCGTGGAACAGCCGGCGTTGGGGTGTGATCTAAAAAGAAAAGATCACCTAGGTTTTATCCTACACATGAATGAACCTTGATTCTTTTATTTTCACGATTTGATCCATCTCCTCTCAAGCCATTGACCGTTGTTCGTCAATCGTTTCCATCGTCAACTCATCACCCATCCAGATACCCGGCTCCCCAGCAAAAAGCTAACGAGGCTCCCTCCTCTCCAGCAGGACAACCTCGCCGTCCTCGTCGTCGTACTTGTACCTATCCCCGGGCAAATGATCCGTGACGCCCTCTATCTCGGCGTCGCAGAACAAGTGCCGCTCCGCATACGTCAGCACGCGGCCGTGCTCCCGCAGCGCGTCCCTATCAAAACACCCGACGCACATGCTGATCCTGTCCGACGCCTCGTGGCGCCAGAACAGGAGCGATCCGCAGCGGGAGCAGAACCCGCGCGCGTTCCCCGGCGACGCGCGGTACACCGACAGCGTCGCCTCCGACGTGTACCGTAGCGCGGAGACGGGGATCCTGTGCACCCGGAAGACGAGCGAGCCCGTCTGCTTGCGGCACTGGGAGCACTGGCAGGTTGAGCACTGGGTGGCCCGTTAGCTGGGCGGCGCTAAGGGGGAAGGGGGGGCTCTCTTACTTGCGCGGTGAAGTCGTGGTCTGCTGGGAATGTGATTGTGTAGCGGACGCCTTCGCAGAGACAGCCGCCGGAGATGGTGGTTGGTTTGGGAGCCATGCTTGCTTGGGGTGTACCGGTGACTCTGTTCGGGGCGGACTGTGGTTGTTTTTGGTATTTGACGCTGATGGTGGTGAGGAATCACTGAGTTGGCAATAATCGCGGTGAGCTGAATGTCATTGACGCCTTTCGGGAATACTTGATGATGGGCGGTGGCATGCGTGAATGGGAAGACCAGCCCCCGCAGCGATTTGTATAGGTTGGAGTTCGTGTGGCGGCGGCAAGGACCATCATCTGTGGGCATCGTGATGATTGGCGAGGGAAAGGAAACATTTTGATGCATTTTGCTTTTTCCTGCTTCGTAATGGGTATATATCGCATACATGGTATTCTATCCACATCTAGTGTGACTGACTATATTGCCTCCCATTTTGCTATCCAGCCGACATTCTCGCCGGCGTTCCTTACTATACATAGCCGCCCTTCTTTGCTGTTTGCTTTCACGCCGGGTATCACTTTCTCGACAGCCACACTGCCAATGGCTGCTGCTTTGCCGTCACGAAGACAATATGAGCCGGATGTCACGAAACCGATGAGGTCCTTGGCATCTGGAACTAGGGGATGACCGCCAATGTCGACTTGGGTTGGTGCAGAGGGTGGATAGGCGACCGGTGGTGCTGTGAGTTCCTGGGCGAGAAGCTGCATCCGGGACTCCATGTCTGTGGCCTTGGCTGTGGTGCGAGCTCGTTTAGATGAGGGACTGCATCCCTGCGGGACCTTGGAGAGCCATTGGGCGCGTAAATCGTACGGTAAGCTGGCGCTGCTGTCCTGTGGTGGTATAGTGGATGGGACTTCGGCGTTTGAAGACGTCGGTGCTGGAGCTGGTGGTTGAGGAAGTCTATATATTCTGGCGCATGTAGTTACTGCGCCGCGTGATAAGAGTGTGATGCGGACATTCATGACGGCATTTGGTGGGAGTGTAGGCAGAGAGGCTTGAGACGTTACTGCCTTGGAAAAGTCGGCGCTTGGAACTAAATTGAGTAACTTCAATGACGGAGGGCTCGGCGACGTCTTGGGCGTAGAGGCTGGCTGATCATCGTCCATGGCATCTTCGTCGTCGGATTTGTCTGCTTGGACAAGCTCGGGTTCGGTAGTGGTGGTGGTGGTAATCTTTGGTGGCGCAGGCAAGTCAAAAAGAAATTCGTAGTCGCAAGCTAGACCATTACCAATTTCGCCTTTCCTGCCGGCTCCCAGGTCCAGCGTTGTCCACGAGGTTCTCTTGCTCTTGGGACGCCTGTCATATGCTCGTTGCCTCTTTAGCCGCTCGTCCAACTCCCACTCAGCACCCGAATCAGTGCCTATGAAGTCCGTTGGGAACCATGATAGCCCCCGTTCAAACGCGACTTGCATTGTCTCGTTTAACCCACCAAACCGAGGATTCATGCCTGATACGAGAGGGCAGTGGACCATGCTATACCACAAGGGCAAAATACATTTCCACGGCATGAGCACCACCCACGTTCCCTGAGCCTGTGTGCTTGTAGGTGAGCGAGACGCAAGTAGAATTATGGGAATAGGAGGGTCTATTTGGGCGGGCTTTAAAAACGACCCAGGGCTTATTGCACCCCTTCTCCTGTTGATGGTCTTTTGTGACGGCAAGCATGTGGCTTGGAAGCGACTGGTTCTGTCAAACAGTCCATAGGGCTCCAGCCGCTCTTCTGCCGGCCAATCTGCCAATACCTCTAGAAGCTTGTACTCAGCTTCGGGATCATCTGAAAATTCCATTTTTCGAGGTGGGTGTCTTAGACGCGGATCTTGTATTGAGAATCCAAGAACTGAATTTGCTGGTAATGAGGCGGGATTAGTTAGACCCTTCAGAGACCCGAAAAGACTGGCGTGCTTGTTTTTGGGCTTCTCCTCTGTTGAGTAGGGTGTCATGGTGCTCAAGAGAGTTTCTGTAGACGCAGGACCGGTGAGTTCGATGCTGCCAATTTCAAACCTCAAGTCTTCGACAAAAACGCCCGATCCCCTCATTTTGGACAGGCGTACTAGCTCGGCAAAGACCTCGAGGAATGCTGCCGGATTTACTCTGATATAGAGTTGCCGCTTGGCCTGGCTCCTATTTGCTGCATTTTCTGAAGCCACGGGCTCTGGATTCCATATAATCGTAGCTGGACACATGATTCTGTTCAGACCATCTTGTTGCCGTGAAACGTAGCCCGACCATGCCCTCAACCCCATCCTCCATTTCGTGCCTTTGTCATTCCAACACAATTCTTGTGTCACCCCGACGCTCTTGAGAGTCTTCTCTATGCCATCAGGGCTTCCATACACGCCAATTGTGCTCATGTAACTCGTATCCCAAACCATGGTTCCCCTCTCGCCTTGGGCACGATGAGTCGGCCGATAGATCTTCTCGGTTGGCGTCAAGGGGATAGCAAAGCGCCACAGAGGATTCTTGGGATCCGTCATATGAGCTCTTTTGGCATGCCACTTGTGAGTCGGTAACCAAGTCTTATTGATCTGCCTTTTGCGAAACCTGGCCGGCGGTCTGGGCGGGTCGTTGAGCTGGTTTCTTCGAATCTTCGGTTTGGGCTGCCGTCCGGCCAACCGTTTGGCTTCGGTTGGAAGTGTTTGTCCTTCGCTTTGGGCGTATTTTTCTTTTTGTAGTAGCCTTTTCCGCTTCCGCGCCGCCAGAATACCCTGCCTTTTTGCCGATTCTGCTCGAATTCTCGCCCTCGTTGTTTTCGGTTTTCGTTTTCTAGATTCAACCAAGGGGGTATTATCGTCCTCCATCTCCCTTCTGGCCCTTGCCCGCAGTCTCCGCGGCACTCTTTTCGGGTTATGACTTGCTGTTCGACGTCGCAACCCTCGAGGGACTTGCTGGAACGCACGGGTCGAGCTCACTGCTTGAGAAGTGGCCATGCTCTGCTCTAGAGACCGAATTTCGAATTCGTGTGCGGCAACAAAGGCCTGAAGGTCAAGTTCGCCATCTTTCAATGCTGCATCGGCTGGCTGGGCCGGGATATGTCGTGCCGAGTGCGTTTTCGCTCTCTTTTGACGAAATGTGTCACCGCGAGCACTTCCCGAGGCATTGGCAGAGCCTGACACAGCGTTACGCTTCCCTGTGGCAGATCCAGATGGACCACCTGATGGCGGCTTCGGAGCCATAGTCACTGGGCTGTGATGGCCACGCCTGCCGAATGCGTGCCATGTGGTATACCGTATGGTTATTCGTGTTGATGTGATGGTTACGCGACCTTGGCTCAGAAATTTGACACGGCCCACTGCTGCAGCTTTATCGATAACCAATGACCCACTATGGCTGTGGTGTAAATTAAGCTATTTCTCACGCATCGGCCATCCATCCCTTTGTGTGCCCAGGTGCGTTTGTTGTGAGTTTTCTTATTGGGTCACATCCTGATTCGGTACAACAAGCGCACCTGCGCAATAACTACAAAGGCATGGCATGTCCAGCTGCCGGCCGTAGAATTTCTCCCGGTCATCTAGCAAATACAGCCGCGTGGTGTACAGTTCAGTCCAGAGACGCACATCGCATTCTTCCACAATGATGCCCTTTGGCAACGTTCTCAGTACTACTAAGATTCTGCTGAAAAGGCTGTTCGGCTGCTCAGTTAAACGCCCGCATTCCTCGAGTACTATTGCCGAGGAAAGCATAGCCCGATATTGCAAGGGGGGCTACCATCCTGTGAGAATTGGAGACCAGTTCAATAACAACAAATACAAAGTTGTCAGCAAAATGGGATATGGTGTCTACTCTACTGTTTGGCTTGCATTTGACCTTGAGTAAGTCCTTGATGGGATGACTGGCCAAGGTATCATATCTGACACGCTCCAGATTAAAGCAACATGTTGCACTCAAAATACTTACAGCCGACTCTTTCGGACAAGGATACGACACTTTTGAGCTGGGTATTCTCAGGCGTATAAGGGCACAAAACAGCTCAAATCCCGGCGCTACTCATATCCTCGGTCCGCTTGACAACTTCGAACACAATGGCCCAAACGGAAACCATGTCTGTCTTGTTTTCAAAGCCATGGGTCCAGACATGTCCAAGTACCGCCGTCTCTTCCCGAAACTGAGGATCCCTCTACCCCTGATGAAGGTTATTTCAAAGCAACTCCTTCTTGCTTTATCATACCTGCATGACACATGCCGAGTCATCCATACTGGTCAGTCCGCGCGTGTGATGAGGAAGACAGCCAACATGGCGCCTAGTTTTCTGTCCCTGTCCCCTGACAGAGATTCCAGATATCAAGCCTCAGAACATCCTGATCGAAACTTCGGCCATCAACAAAATGTTCCAGCAAGCACCGTCTGAAGCCTTCCGTCCACGTGACCTAGTACTCGATCCTCTCAATGACTTCTATAGGGAATCCATGCAAGTTTCCTCCTCTCAGGAAGACATAACTTGCCCACCCGACCTTTCAGTTAGGTTGGGAGATTTTGGAACTGGTGAGACCTTCAGCATAGACAGAGTAGCACAAATCTAATGGGTTCACGATAGCGAGCTGGATCGACAAGCACTTGACAGAGTGGATCCAACCCCAGATGCTGCGGGCCCCTGAAGTGATACTAGAAGCGGATTGGGATTGTAAAGTGGATATTTGGAACCTTGGCCTCATAGTAGCTCTCCCTTCCCAGATGATCTCAAAGCTTACAGCTGGTAACATTTTCTTGGGCAGATCTGGGAACTAGCGGAGGGGAAACTTCTCTTCGACGGCATGTGGACCCCGTATAACCACTACACGTCCGAGGCTCACCTAGCTCAAATCACCACTGTCTTTGGCAACATACCCAAACGGTTGTTGGATAGATCCAAGAGTCGAGATCGATTCTTTGACACCGACGGTATAGTATTTTCCCTTGATATGCTTTGGGTGATGCCTACTGTGAAACATGTGCTGACTAGAACAGGCAATCTTCTGAAACCTTCGACCTTTCCGCCCTGTTCGCTGGATCAAATGAGCACGAATGCTGACCTTTCGGGCTCGGAAAAGGAGCAGTTCTTAAGGTTCATTGAGTCAATGGTGAGACTGGATCCGGAGGACCGTCCCGATGCCAGCACGCTGCTTCAGTCGTCCTGGTTGGCTCAGTAGTGTAAACATAATACCGGGGCAACGTGGGTGACTCGTTGGATCATCGATTTAGATGGAATTGCTGCCACAGGAAGATGGACATGCCTGCAACGCATGTACTATGTCCTTACAGACGACACATTTGCAAACAACTCTTACAACTAGTCCAATAACTACAAGTCAAGGCAACATTGTAAGTTAATCCGATCGCCATAGCTCTGTTGCAACCAAACGTGTAAACCAATTTGGCAAAGAGAGATGTCATTCATTAAAAAAAAAGATTCGGGTAACCGCTAACACAATACATTCAACAGAACGGCAGAAGCATCTTGTTGCGTTTTTTTTATTGTAAGAGGCAAGCTGCTCGGCTCAATTCACGTCATTTGGGCCTCGAACAAGGTGGGTGGTGACATGCCGGCCGTTGCGATCCTTGAACTCGACAGTGATATGTCCTTTCGGGTGGCCGTCCCCGGCATGAAATGGGGAACTGTATCGTCGTTAGTGAATGGGCAGGACGGAGTGCTATCGCGTAGACATACACAACCTCAGCTTGCTCAACATTGCGCTGTTCAAGGCCACACTTGTCGTAGTGTTTAGCCACTAGGTTCTCGGCCTCGGGCCTCCGCCCGACCCTGGAATGATGCGTGCTGTACCTCCATTTGATTGACCGTAAAGCTCTGAAAATCTGGGTAGGGTTCATAAGGACACGAAGAATAAAGGACAAATTGGCAAGGGACTATTCGCACGCACCTGAGAAATAACATAAACCGGAGCAAGGATTTTATGACCAAGAGTTTTGGAAAGAAATTGGGAGATGGGAAACTTTGGTATATCCTGTATTCACCCCAACTTCCAAGGCGGTAGCTTACATCCTGCTATTGGTCCAAAGAAGAATTCATAGCCCCGGGCTCTCCTGTTGCTCGCGCAGTCGCTCGAGCTCTCTCTGCGTGTCTTTCCCCTGTTGGTGGACTATCTGCGACGCAATCAAGGCAACTAACTGCTGTTGCCGGACCTAGCCATCTAATGGCAATGACTGACCCCGCATCACCAAACTCACGAGTCACCATGAGCCCGTCTACCTGGCTGCGTAGCCCCGACCAAGACCTCCCCCAGTTCTCGCCTGACCGATCCGCATACCCTCACCAATGGCCGGCGCCTCCGCTGGAGGGTAACCGGAAACCCAACGTCGCTTACCCTAAAGGGATGACCACCCTTAAGGTTATCAACGAGGACCCCCTTATCGGCGACTTTTCGGCCCTCACGCTCGTCTATCACTCCCTGGCCCGCCGCGAGAACACGAAGCGGACCTGGATCACGCCTCGGTCCCAGGCCGCAATAATGTACGACAAGTGCCTTGGGTATTAGGACCCGTCCCTGCTGTCAGCGCCTGTGGACGACGAAGACACTAGCATGCCTAAGGCCTCGGAAAAGGCCGCCTCAGTGATAACAGCTAACATGCAGCTCACCGATATTCTTCGCAAGGCCGCTGAGAGTACCCCGCCCCCGGCCAGCTCGCTCACCTGGGCTGGCCAGACCGGTGGCCCATCCGATGATGTGTTCACGGACTCCCCGCAGCATCCGCGCCGCCTCTTTCCCTTAAAGGTCAACCCGCAGGCAATGGACTTCTACGAAGAGGTCGTCCAAGTACAATCCCAGCTCTTTGACATACAAACACGTAAGGCCATAAAGGATAAGGTGATCAATAACCTTAATAGCATGCCTAAGAAGAACTAGGACGCCCTCTTTACCGCGTATAAGGTCCGCTTCCCAAATAATAAGCCGGACATTAACATTATTAAGGTGCAAAACCAGGTCAACCGCATAGCCCTATCCTTTAAGGGTCAATACTTGAATGATTACCTGGACCAGGTGAGGCGTACGCCTTACTTCCAGAACCTAACGGTTAGCTACCGTTGACCCGCGTTGGTTAAGGTGTGGGGCCTATAGCAGCCCAACTAACGGCCTTTACCCTTTAGTTAGCGTAAAAAATGCGGGATATTATAAATACTAGAACAGCTAACCCCGCCGATTTTAGTTATTAAATTAATAGGTTCTTAACGAATTATATTATAGTATTATTAAAATACGTTTAAATAGCTAAATTTATAACTATACCTTAAAACGAATTAAACTAGATTTATATAATTTTAGGGGGCCTAGATTCGCGGTACGAGTACTCGTGCTTAGACCTCTAAATATATTATATGTTTTGTATTTTTTACTATACTATATTATACTATATTATATTATATTATATTATATTATATTATATTA